GAAATGTACGAAAATCGCATTATTCCTTCAAAAATACTTCAGACTAGGAATTTTACTCACTATTTCTATAGATGTTAATTGAATATTTAGACAACTTTAGACAGTAGAAACAACTCAAGACGTCTTGAATTATTACAATCATTGAAAGCCTCAAGAGAGAGCACAATCATAGGAAACTACATATAGTACACGAACGTAGTTCACAGCCATTTTGAATATTTCCCTCAACTCAATAAGTCAAATTCTTAACAAGGCTATAATATTTCAACATAGAACAAATAACGCCAATTTCTAGAACTTTAAATATGATTCTAAGGCTTGGTTGTAATATTATAGCCTTGTTAAGAATTCAACTTAAGTTCGGGAAGAGATTCAAAATGGTTGAGAACTAGTTCCACTTAAGAACTTATCTCCACTTAAGAACTATGTTATCTCAGAGTAAGAACTATGTTATCTCCAAGTAAAAACTATGTTATCTCCAAGTAAGAACTATGTTATCTCCAAGTAAGAACTATGTGTAGTTTCCTATGATAGCTCAATATGAATCTATAATTTGACTTTCTTCTGAGCCGTTCCAATGTTACACTGATTCACCTGAAAGAGAGAAGTTGACTATTACAGTATTATGTTTAAGAATGAGGCCCCAGGGCTATACAAACTGTACAGTATTATGTTTAAGAATGAGGCCCCAGGGCCCAGGGCTATACAAACTGTACAGTATTATGTTTAAGAATGAGGCCCCAGGGCCCAGGGCTATACAAACTGTACAGTATTATGTTTAAGAATGAGGCCCCAGGGCCCAGGGCTATACAAACTGTACAGTATTATGTTTAAGAATGAGGCCCCAGGGCCCAGGGCTATACAAACTGTACAGTATTATGTTTAAGAATGAGGCCCCAGGGCCCAGGGCTATACAAACTGTACAGTATTATGTTTAAGAATGAGGCCCCAGGGCCCAGGGCTATACAAACTGTACAGTATTATGTTTAAGAATGAGGCCCCAGGGCCCAGGGCTATACAAACTGTACAGTATTATGTTTAAGAATGAGGCCCCAGGGCCCAGGGCTATACAAACTGTACAGTATTATGTTTAAGAATGAGGCTATACAAACTGATATATTGAACACCGTATATACATTAATTGTATGTTTAATGTCAATTTTTTTGCTCAGAAAGAAAGAAGCCTGACAAACGGGAGGATGAACCTGGCATTAGACTCTTTCTTATCTTTGTTAGGGTTATGTGACCATCTTTTTAAAACAATCACCTTTAATATACGATCAAAATAAAGTTCCCTCACCCCTCCCCTCCCTGGTAAACTACCTTTATTACCTGACCAGCGACCATGTATTTTCACTCCCATGACATCAAAATGAGTCTCCCTTGTATAACACATGAACTTACCTTGGTGGCAAAACGTAAGGAATTTAGAGATTCATTAAAGAATTCTTCCCGTGGGTTTATATTAACAAACATCAATGTTTTACTGTTTCCACCTAGTGAATTCTGTAGAAGATATGTTAATTTACTGTTTCTATATGGAATATGACTGTCCTGTAACACAGAAAATATCATCTTAAAGATATACAACCTCTTAGAATTGACATAAAATCTAAAAATATGGTCAATAAGAGTATATATTATATTCATCAGTTGGATTTACCAGGTGTCATGACTGAAGAATAGAATCTCTATAAAATATGATATCTCTTTTAAACTGACTAATTATTGAAGCATTGTTGTATGGCTATGACACCAGGTTAGTCAACTGATTGGGAAAAAAAGTCCTGCCTAAATACACCAGGCATTGGTTAATTATGTACATAGGTGTTTCATAGAGTGAGTAGGGTGGCCCATAGAAAATAAATGAAACAAAATATCAAACGTTGTACCAATCAAATTATCACGACAATGCCTATTCAGCCAGCTTACGATTCACTTTAAAGTAGTGGCCCTGTATTCTCGAAACGACCTTAGCGCTAGGATATCCTAGGTTCTTATCTTCTAACATTGATTCTAGGATGTCCTAGGTTCTTATCTTCTAACATTGATTCTAGGATGTCCTAGGTTCTTATCTTCTAACATTGATTCTAGGATTTCCTAGGTTCTTATCTTCTAACATTGATTCTAGGATATTTCGAGAATACGGGCCTGGGTCCAATTCTACAAATAATCTTACCATTAATTTTGTTATAAATATGATATTTGTGACTGTAAAATTCTACATTCACAACTATTTGTGACTGTAAAATTCTACATTCACAACAAATTCTTATGGTATGATTTTTTGTGGAATGGGGTCGGTCATATTGAATATAGAGTATTATATTGGATGAGACCAGTAAACTGTGGTGAAACTCGTGTGAAATATAGAGTTTATTATTATTACCTGTTTTCCTAGAGCCATGATGACGTTACCAAGGTTACTTAGACTTTTATTGATACACAATGTCTCCTTTAACCTTTGACCTTCTGACCCAGATTGTTTCAATCTCTCACTACCAGCCAGGTCAACCAAACTCAGGGTACCTTCAAGTTAACAAATATAGTATGTTAAAATCAACAAATATAGTATGTTAAAATCAACAAACATAGTATGTTCAAATCAACAAATATAGTATGTTAAAATCAACAAACATAGTATGTTCAAATCAACAAACATAGTATGTTCAAATCAACAAACATAGTATGTTCAAATCAACAAACGTAGTATGTTCAAATCAACAAACGTAGTATGTTCAAATCAACAAACATAGTATGTTCAAATCAACAAACATAGTATGTTCAAATCAACAAATATAGTACGTTAAGCATTGGAAAGCCAGGGCAACTCAGCTCTGTCAATATGAAAACTGATAAAAACTCCTCACCTTGGCAAGATTCATCTGTAGATGAGTTTTTACCAGTGATATGAAGTTGAAATACAGAATGACTTCGAGATGATCTCTCATTACATTTTGTTTCAGCTACAGCTCGGTTGTGAGATGCTCTCTTTAATAGATCAAATACCTACAAAATTACAAAATATAGATCTCTACTCGTTAGACAATCCTGGTTTATGACTATATGAAGAAGGTAAATTTATATCCATGTCATATCAAAAGGATTTCTCTAATCCTTACATAATTAACAAAAATATTCATATTTAATCCTGTCTAATCTTTCATAGATTTGGAAAATTTTTTATCCCCATATGTTGGCTCCTTGCTTAATTATGAGAGACTAAAATGATAATTGTTTTGCTTACAGTGTCCAGATCTAAATTGCAGAGACGAGAAGGTTGCATATCATTGGTCAGACATGACTGGTAATAACAGTGGGATCAGAATCCTTGATAAATTTAAAGCCTACCTCTGATTCTTGAGTAACATTAACAGTAGTTAAATTGGTAACGTGAACATCTCCTGAATCCTTTCCCTTCATTTTAATGTCATGGGTTAGAGTCTGATCTTCAGATAATAAATCACGTATTGTTTCATTATAGATTTCCAACATACTGGCAATATAGGTATACTGTAAAAACAAAGGTTTCCTTAAAATCCATCAAGAATTGTGCATTCTAGAGTATATATACAAACTTAAAGTTTTCAAGAACAAGGGCAATGACTCATACTAAATATTTTTCAATTCTTCTGATTTTCAATAAGGTTCATCCTTGGGTAAACAAACCCTCACACCAAGTTTGGTCAAAATCGGTCACAAATTGTGCCTTCTAATGAAAGAGGAAACAATTGTGGACGGACCGACAGACATGGGGGATGCAAACCTACTCTCCCAATTTCATGTGTAAATTCCAAATATAAAAAGAGAATTGGACAAAACCAATCATGAAGATGATTAATGGTGATCTTAGTTGTAAAAAACTATGATGTTTTGACAGGATGAAGATATGAGGATTAAAATAATAGAACTTCTGTCAAAATAAACCATTTATTCCTTTAATGTTTTGTATGTTTAAAATTGATGACAGACATCGAAATCCAAGGCACACAATAAATTTTTTATACGCCCACATTATATTTCCTCAATAATAAATGGTTTATTTTGACATAAGTTTTATTATTTAAATCCCCATTTCAAGTGGGCGTATAATAAATGAAATAATTTGTGTTATGAGCCTCGCATTCGATGCTTCAAAAACAAGGCGTGAATAAAGTCTATAAGTATGAATAAATGAATAAATTAACGTACTGTCCATCCTCGCTGTTGTAATTGTAATCCAGTAGAGAAGATCTGTCTTACAGCTCGAGGTATCATTCCTATTTTATCCTCTTCCTCTAGTCTCCCTCCCTCCATCGTATACGTTTTACCTGACCCTGTCTGACCGTAGGCAAATATACACACATTATAACCATCTAGCGCACTCTGGAAGAGAAAATTACACACGATGAATTAAATGGTCACATTCAAAAGACTCTGGCAACAAATTTTGTCCAAGGACCAACTGGTAGAAAGGATCCTTAACAGTGAACGTAGGTTGTTATCCTTGTTCAATACGAAACGAAAAACGGCGAAATTATAAACTATATTACCTGAACTAGTTGTGATATTTCTTCAAAAACTACGGCCTGTGAGGAAACTGGATCAAAAACTTTATCAAATGAGAAGAGAAGTTTGTTTCCACCACGAGTTGAGTTTAATATTGTACTCTGAAATTAACAATGATAAATAATAAATAAAAAACTGTAAAATAATGTAGTTGTTATCTTTGTAAAATATAGTTGTTATCTTTGTAAAATATAGTTGTTATCTTTGTAAAATATAGTTGTTATCTTTGTAAAATGTAGTTATCTTTGTAAAATGTAGTTATCTTTGTAAAATATAGTTGTTATCTTTGTAAAATGTAGTTGTCATCTTTGTAAAATATAGTTGTTATCTTTGTAAAATGTAGTTATCTTTGTAAAATATAGTTGTTATCTTTGTAAAATATAGTTGTTAACTTTGTAAAATATAGTTGTTATCTTTGTAAAATATAGTTGTCATCTTTGTAAAATATAGTTGTTAACTTTGTAAAATGTAGTAGTTATCTTTGTAAAATATAGTTGTTTTGGTTTTTCCCCTACCTCATTAAGTCCCCCCCCTCCGACGTCTCCAAGTTTCTCCATTTCTAGAACTTTACCATCTTTATCAGGGAATGTCATGTGACCTATAACACCATCATTATCTTGTGTTTCGTTACCTAGTAACGGTCGTACTCGACAGAACACTCTGATGTTACCCTGAAATTATAAATTCAAAAATTCAAAATCCTAATTAAAATTGAACTGTACTTAACTACAATACAGTCAAGGGATTGGCTTTTCTCTTCTTCTTACAACTCTGTAAGTTAAATCTACCCCTCCCATGTTTTGTGATATTGTGTTAGGCACAGGGATATTGTAGAATATCTGTTAATGTCTTGATGGACTTTTTAATGGTTCAGCTTCGGATTGATACCAAAAGTAATGCCAAATTTGGTTTTAATTTGGTGAAAATTCTCAAAAACTAGCAACATTCTCAAAAACTAGAAACATTCTCAAAAATAGATTGAAGCAAAACTCCTGAGTGACAGTTTGTGTTGGACCATTAACATGCAGATATTTGTATATTAATATGGCCAGATGGCTCTAAGGTTATTTTCTGTCACTGACTAAGCCATACCCCTACCCTTATTTCCTGACACTCACTACACCACACCCCTAGCTTTAACTCCAGTATAGTATTATAACTTTAGTTCCTGTCAATCACTAAGCCACACTCCTACCTTCAGCTTAGGTCACTGACTAAGCCACACCCCTACCTCTAGTTCCGGTCCCTCTCTAAGCCACACCCCTACCTTTATTTCCTGTCACTGACTAAGCCACACCCCTACCTTTAGTTCTGGCCCCTCACTAAGCCACACTCTTACCTTAAGTTCCTGTATAGTATTATGAAGTTTTCGTCTCATGGTCTCCTGATTAATTAGTTCTTCGTCCTGTTCACGTATCTTAGCCTCATGTATCCTGATCATCTCTCGTAGTTCCATTATAGTTGTATCTTTAATTTTTATATTGGTGCTGGCTTCATTCAGATCAATCTAAATATATATAAATATCCAGTGTTGCCAAAAATTAGTAGATACAAGAATTCCAGATAGCTTGCCAGGCAAGGTAATATACACCTACTGGCAACTTTGATTTCGAATAAAAAAAATTTATTAGTACAGTAACAATCACTAGTATGAAATAGTCAACCTACAATGTTATACACTTCTTGGGTTGATACTGAACAATATTACCAAATTTTAACAAAATCCAGAAAGAATCCTGCCTTTTAGTGTTTACGAGCTAATAACTCATATAAAATCTTTTTGAATTTAAATAGGGTTCATCCATGGGTTATAACACTTGCACCTATTTTTGTCAAAATCCGCCAAGAATTGTCCCTTCTAGAGTGTTTACAAGAAATTGCGGACGGACCGACGGACATGGGTGATGCCTAGGCATATAAAAATGGTGGAAAAAAGAACAGAAAGAAAATTTTGAATGTGACTTTATTTCAATCCGTTTGTTCGATTGAAGCCAGAATTGTAAAAGACGGAACCTGTACAGAATTCACCAATCAAGAGCAACAATAATTTTCCTACCTTGATAGCCTGTAGTTCAGCGAGAGATTTAGCTTGTGTTGAAGTTAATTCAGCTATAGATGATTTTAAACCAGTAATCTCAGTTTGACTAGCAGTTAGCTCCCCTGCCAGACTGTCTTTCTGTCGTTCTAGGGTAGATTTTGAGAATGATAAATCGTCTATTTCTCTCTGTAATCTTCGTTTCGTACCGTCTAAATCATCCTCACTATTTCTGACATCAAGAAGAGAAAAAAGCAGAATAACAAATACATAACATTGAATGTAGACTAGCCCTCAGCTCATGGTCTGGTGTTTCGGATATAAAACACTCATCAGGAACGTCAGTTAAGGCTTGAAATATCGTAACATACAAAATAGCCAGCAGCGATGTCATATAATATAAAGGAACTATAGTCATCCGATTGAGAATAGTGGAATGATGCAAGAAAAATCCATAAATGATGCTAATACACAGATATAGAGATTTAGATATGACAAAATTAAAAACAATTCACCAATTTACCTCAGCTTCCTTTTCAAATCCTCAATTTCCCGTGAAATACTTTCCGTCTGCTGTTCTTTCTGATTGACAGTTCCTGACAGGTGATTATTGTGAGATTCAAGGGAGATAATTCGTTGATTATAACTATCTAATTGAGTTTGAAGCTCTGAGCTCATCATCTCACGAGACTGGACCAAAGCCTTCATATCTTCTAACTGTCCTTTTAAATCCCATCCTGCTCTTTTCTTCCCGCCTCCTGCTACAAATAGACAATAATACTGATAGCATCAATGTGTGCCATTCCAATGTTCAATCAGACGTCTGTGGTTCCTGTTATTCCACTCAAACCTAGTGTTGCAAAATCTGCTTATTATATCGAAGAGGATAGTGTTGTCATAAAACACTTATTTTGAGTGGAATCGCAGGAACCACAGACGTCTGATTGAAAATTGATGTTATCAGCCAACCTGGTATGTTAAGGCAATCTTTTCATATTCCTTTTAACTTTGCAAACTCAGTTCTAATGATCTTATCACAATAAATGACAAAGAAACAAACCTTGTGTCGGAGCAGCTTTAGAAACAGTTTTATTAACGCCACCTGGTGGCTTTCTCTGAATACCACTATTAATAGCTCGACCATTTGTTACTGGTTTTGTTGGACGATTTACTGCGGATCCTAAACCTACAACATCAGTTATCATTATCATGTACACAAGATATGTTTAGGGTTTATTGGAAGTGGTAAATCTCTGTTACTCAGTGACTTTACTCTGTTTCAATATATACTGATAGGGACAGTTTAAGGCAATCTACAAACAAAGACCTATTTCTTCAAAAATCTTACATAATATCAAGGCGTCTGTGGTTCCTGCAATTGACGACACTATTATCGCAAAATATGCTAGTATCACAAAATTAATTAGTGGTCAAACACTTAGTTTTATTGGAATTACAGGAACCACAGACGTCTGATTGAAAATTGGAATGAAGCAAATTGTTGCTTTCAGTGTCTCGATACACATAAAATTTTTAGAAAACATCTTTACAATCCCTTTTAAGGACTAGGCAATCTAAGCAAACTATAACATTAAACCAAATTAGTCTTCCTGCATCGGGCAAAAATTGTGTGAAAAGAAATTATCCCATAATCATGTCTTATAATAAGCCATGTTTTTACCAGTCTTGCTGGAGGTGCGAGTTAACCCTGCAGGCCGTTTAGTATTTATAGTTGTCTTAGCAGCAGTTAGATTGGATCTTGTGGAAGGACCATTGGACGATTTTGTTGAGTTCAACCCTGTGCCACTGTTGGTTTTCTCCAAACATCTTTTCTTTCCAGAACTTGTGTCACGTGGCTGAAAAATTTAAAACAAACAAAGTTGAGAACTATTTGACACAAGATTTCTTACAGGGACAGGTAGGCCATTTTTTTTTTACCAATCATACTTTAGTCTCAGAAACTAGATGAGCTAATCAGTAATAGTGTTCACAGCTCATCGTCGAAAATTGAGTCTTCAAATCCATGTGTATCCATAATTATCTGTGTTTGAATGTTAAAATGAAGATGTGATATATAGAAAAGACATATATATATAGAAATAGTGAGTAAAATTCCTAATTTGAAGTATTCTTTTAAAGAATTATGTGATATTCATATATATATCTCTACTTCTAAAGACTATTTACATATATTCTTTATTCTATATAAAATCAACCTCCCCAAAATCGCACACCTGTCCCGTTAAATGGTGGCAGATAATGAACTTTCCTCACCTCTTCTATTTCTGGACTGCGTGCTCGTTTCGACGTAGTTGATGGAGGTTTTAATCTACTTCCAGGCATCGGAAGCCTTGAAGTTCCAACTGGAATATTACGACTTGCTAATGGCTTTCTCTGAAACAGTAAACCAATAATTAATATAAGTAAGTAAGATGAAAGGGATGAAGGCTATTGTGTCTCAAGTAGAGTGAAAATTACACTATAATATCATATAATGAACGATCAAATTTTTAAGTAAGTAAGATGGATGTAAGCTTTCCTCAACCTTTTTCCGAAACTTCATTCATGGTATGACCTAGTTTAAGATCTAACCCACTCTACAAGGTCTTTACAACCTATTTACTGTAACCAATATTCACCAGCAGTCCGTAATGATGGTATATAGCTCATGACAGCCAATTAAATCACTATCGATAGATTTAAAGTTCGCGAAACCTAAAGGTGTTGACGTCTTTAGAGTAGAATACTGCATGCATGAAGTGCAAATATCAGACACGGATGCCAAAGTTAGTTTAAAATTTGTCCATGGATGACATGATCAATTCGATAAGTCGATTCTAATTTAGAATTTGAGGTACCGGTATTTTAGAATCCCTCAATCAGGGTTAGGTTTAGGGCTTGAACTAGAGAAGATTGTCTGGAAACTGAAACTGTAAAAGTGTAAGAGTGCAAGGCGAAACCAACCCGAAGTTCCGAACCGTTTTTGTCAGTTTAGATCTACTTCTTGGACATATTATTCATCAAAGATTCAAAGAAGTCATGTGCCCACAACTGGCAAAATTATAACCAAAGATCAAAATATTTAAAAAATGTCACCGAACACAGCAAATAGATTCAAGTAACTTAGTTTTAATAATCTTATGAAATGTGAACAAACCTCTGCCTCCATGTTGACAAAATAACGATTTGAATTTCCGCTCTAAAATCCCAAATAGATATTTAAACTTATCGCTGATTGGTCAATTTCTTTTGAATTTTCTTAAACGAGTTTTGATTTGTTAAAAAAGATAAATTTAAGGGAAGTAAGTCAGTTCTAAATTTGGCTTCAGACTACAGTTATTTGTTTAATATTTTTTGCATGTATGTTAAGTTAAATTAGATACATAAAGAATATCTACCAAGCGTTTATTGAACTATGTTTTCAGATAGATATTTGCGATAGTGAAGCCATAAATATGTTAAGATCTCTGGAATTACAGCCTACTGCTGGAAGTCAGACTGGTAATTGGAACTTAACGGAAATAAGTGTTTAAAGCTTCCATTACATGATTGTGTACCCAAACTCAAACGTCAACTCTGTAAAAAAAAAAAACGTGCTTATAGGTTACATGGTCCCCGTACGATTTTTTTTAAGATTTGTTAAGGATTTGGATAAGATTTGCTCTTTTCAGTTGTTTTTTTTTTTATTACGTTTGAGTTTGCGTTTGCGGTTGATGTAGGCCTAATCGCAACGTAAAAAGGAAAATGCGTGGTAATGGGTCTGGAAACATCCACATTAATGATGTCATAAAGGGGATAATATTCTCCCATTCACGTGAAAGAAACATTTCAATCCTGATTTCCTGATCAAAGTTCGGTGTCTCGGACTAATATAATGTATTAACAACACGAATGCTTACTTAAGACAGAATACAGTATGAACAGTATGATAAACATTTCTATTCTGATTTCCTGATCAAAGTGTCATAAAATGTGGAAGCTTGTGCTGGTGCTGTCTAGGGAGTGGTATAAATACTGCTGTACTCTAATGACTGATATGACCTTATCCCCACGACTGTTATTTGATACCCAAACTGAGGTTGATATTAACATGAACACAATTATATTGATGACAATTACGATTGCTTGATAAAGACGAAAGAATCATCGTCGAAACGTCACAAGTTATTTATTAAAGTAAGTGTTATCCATATAATTGTGTTCATGTTAATATCATCAATTACTAAATGCCACTCAAGGAAGTTAGGAGGTTGGTATTGATGTGGACGACGTGTTTTTACTGTTAACTCGGAGAGGACCTTCAACACACTCGTTTAGAAAAAGAGAAATTCAGACGACGAAAGTTTATCAACTTCGGGAAGGAGTTTTTCTTGCTTCGGGAACAATCAAATTTATTGTTAGGTCTATAGACAAATTACGTATTCATAGATAAATATTGTCCAATCAAAATTGGCCTTTGAATCTTTCTAGGAAATCTCAGCCAATCAAATTAAAACACTCGTTATGACGCTATGTCCACGAACGTTAACAAAACGAAAGCAGCGTGTCATTAAATGTTTTGATTAATATGAACGATACAAAATTACTAAGCTGTTCGGTAAGGAATTGAAGTTGATAGAAAATTAAACCTTTGAAATATTTACTTCAACGCTTCCACCCCTACTGTTCTTTGATGATCAAATAGGGCCCATATAGGCCTGTTGATAACTAACTGCAAACAGAACTGATACTGGAGTTGAGGTTTGGCTATATTGCCACCTCAGGTGATCCCGCATATATTGTATCATCGTACAATGCCAGAATGCTCAAACTAGCAAGCTAGTGAGCTACGCATACACGCTAGAGACTCCAGATAGAGTGCTCAACAAGGTATGAGCCAAGGAGCATATATATATATATATATATATTATAAACAATTGTTCTTTATTATAGAGAAATCAATCTTTTGACAGTCTTTTTAACCCGTATTAAACTAAAACGCCCGTTTGAAGAGATAAGAACACATTCTTTCCAAGTTAATATTCCAAAATAAGGTTTGTTTCTCTCACGGCTTCAATTCTTTACCGAGAATCTTACCGAGAATTCTGTACCGTTCATAGAAATCAAAATGTGTAATGACAAACTACTTTCGTTTTGTTTACATTCGCAAACAAAGCGTCATAACGAGTGATTTGTTTGAATTGACTGCAATTTTACTAGCAATACAGTAGGGGCAATTTGGATTGGACAATATCTAGCTATGAATACCTATTTTTTCTTACAATATAGGCCTACCATATATATATATATGGATATTGTCCAATCCAAATGGCCCCTACTGTATTGCTAGTAAAATTTCAGGCCTACCATAGCACACATATATATATATGGTATTACTATTGCTAGTAAAATATCTAGCTATAAATTACGTCATTTTTCTTACAGTAGGGTTACCATATATATACATATCTGTGTTATAGTACGCCTATTGTGCCCCGATAATAGGACCTTTCGTCAAGTAAACTTTACCTATATATGAAAAATATTCCCTTATATCCTAATGAAAGTTCAGACTAGTGAGGCTAGTTCAGTCACGACTGTATTTAGAATAAGGATCAAATAGAGATTAGACGATTCTGAATTTGAGTGAGTATACAGAACTATTATATAGAATAAACCATCAGATATATGGACTCACTGCACTAATTCATTTGCCATCTCTTCCCATGTTAAAACACGAAATTCAGCCTTAGGGTAGGGGATTTGGG